TTCTGGATGATGATTGGGCCGTTTGTATTTTTGCCAATTTATCTGAAAGTTGTTTTGCATTCTGTTGCATGTTCTGAGTAAAACCTAAGTGTTTGACCATGTCTATCGATGAAATCTTTTACATGGAAAAATACTGCATGGATCTTGGGTGTTACAGACACATTTCGCAATGTCAGATAGGACACCTTGAATGCTTCAATTATTTGTTGGTAGTTAGGATTAAGGTTGCATCTAAAACAGCCAGACACTACAGCATTGAATTTTCGAAAAGTATCAATGAATGGGATGGCTGCATAGCATGAGTGTTTCTCAGCAATTGATTGAAGTATATCAATATTGTGTAGCAGCTTTATGGATTCTTTTATGGCAAAATGTCTACCACGGTGAGTTGTTGTTTAATGCATAAGTCCAAAGAGTTGCTCGAGGAAAAACTTGAAGTAGCCCAGCAAAAAGATGATTTAAAACTCCAATTAGGAGATGCAATTCCATAGGAGGAACAAACTTTAAAAAACCAAAGTGCCTCCAGATAGTTTAAATATTGGAGAATGAATAACATTTTTGTAATCACAAGCTTTTCTGATATTGGAACCAGCTGACTTGATGAGTGAGACAATTTTTTCTAGAGATTCAAAAGTCCTCATTTTCCCTTAACTTACAAGTTCTTTTGAACCAGATTCGCACCGGTGCATGGATGTGCACTTGAGTGTGCTTGAAGCCCACAAATAATATTTGTAAGTTTTAGATCACAGGGCATGACAAATTCCTATTTTTTCAATTTAATTAACTAAATTTCTTGAAGGTCCTCAGAGACAGCAACAACGAGTTGTCGTTTTACACCAGTGTTCTTAAAAACCTTGCTTGTGCAGTTAAGTTTTGCTAGGGGAATGCAAGGCTCATGATATCATTCAATAATTCCCACCTCTTCCGTCAAATCCAACCTTTACAATGTGATTTTTTGATGCACTTCTCATGGCTATAATTTTTCTTGTTTATATTGATACAAATTGAGTGATCACCATAGTAAGGGCTATCACTCCACCAAAAAAGGTTTTCCTGTGTCAAAAAGTAAAGGTTAGAACCTATTTTATAACACTGTGCTCATCTTGAATCTAATAACTTACTTTCTGATCATCGACATGGATTTCGATCTTCTTGTTCTACTGCTGATTTGTTAACAACAATAACCGATAAGTTTTATTGGTTTGGCATGCTGGTTTTCTACATAAGCACTCTCTACATAAGCTCATCAAATAACATCTTTAAGAATATCGAATTCTTCTTTACCATTCGTAGTATAAAATACTCCTTGATGGGCGGCACTCGTCTTCATTTCCTGTAACTTCAGGGGTTCCTAAAGGTTCTAGTTCTGGCCCTATATTTGTTTTAAATTTACATTACCAATCTTCCAGAAAACCTCACATCTACGATGGCATTGTTCGCTGATGATACTACCAATTATTCTTGTCTTGATAAGAAGCACTCTCTGATTGCTTGGAGGGGGTATTTGATCTTGAAAAAGATCTCACTTCTTCTACAGCATGGGGCTCGCAGTCGCTAATGAACTTTAACTTGGATAAAACTCAGTTTTATCAGCTAATTATTATCGCAACAATCTAGATATTCCTATATTTATGAATGGTAATGTACTCGATGAGTTATCTACCTGTTGTCTTCTAGGATTAACTCTTAAACATTAAAGTAAACATTAAAGTCTCATCTATTTACTGTGACTGTTATTAAGAGCTTCAAAAATTCTTATTCTTCTAGCTTTTTTGCTTGATCATCAGTTATTTGGAATTTGCTCTCTTCATTTTGTTTTCCTCCTTCATATAACTTGCAATCTTTCAAGTTGTCTGTTAATCGTTATCTTGCTTTATAAACTTTATCTTTTCTCTTCCAGTACTTCCAACCTTAATAGTGCTTGCTTGTAGGCTTGTTGGGAGTGAAGATGTTAAAAAAAGTGTAATGAAAATTATTGTTGTCATGACAAATACAATATATTTATACAAAACAGCAATATTATGATAATAACAGAAAACAATGTTATTCTTACCTTTGTGTTAAATTTTATTACTAAACTGTTGCCTAATGATCAATAAAGTAAACTTCAAATCATGAAAATTTACTAAATTAAAACCATAATTCAACAGAAGGCAAACTAAACATAAATAATGAAGTAGAATCTCAAGTTGAACTAAAATAAAAAGAATTAAATGTAAAATTAAAAAAATATTTTTAAATTGGCATAGGTTTAAACCATTAGAAAAATATCAATTTAAACCAAAATGATATTTTTTAAATTTACAAATCGAACTGTATCTTTCATGTAAATACTTATTATAAATGCACCTAATTAAAAGCATAAAGATGCTTCTAAAAAATAATTTCTAATGTATATTAAATTTACAGTATGTTTTTTATTTGAGATTAGCTACTTATTTTTTAAATGCAGCAACAGGTCAATGTGATATTATATATATATATATATATATATATATATATATATATATATATATATATATATATATATATATATATATATATATATATATATATATATACATATATATATATATATATATATATATATATATATATATATATATATATATATATATATATATATATATATATATATATATATATATATATATATATATATATATATATATATATACATGTGGTGAATAAAATTGCCCAGCGCGATATTTCACGCTTGTAAAACTCAAACACGTTATTAAGGAGCACAATTTGCATGCTCGGCATCAAGTCTTCAAGATTGATATTTAGGTATGGGAATTTATTCCCACGACCTTTTTTTTTTTTTTTTCTAAAAATTTTTTCCAGGTCCTAGTCGGCAGAAAAAAGAGATATCATCCCCCCTCCTTTTAAAATCATTTTGGGACAGTCCTGTCTGTTAGCAGTAATGACATTATAACTTTCCATGCATTGTTTGTACAAAACAGAAAACTGCTTTCTAATTTTTAAAATATGTTTTAAAAACTAAGTCTTCAGGCATGATACTAGTGATGTTACATTTTTTCTTTTGTTGTTTGTGAACACACTTCCCAAAGTTACAATAAACAAAACATATAACAAACAATATGCAACAGTAGAATCCTGTTAACTTGGACTCTGAGATTTATATTTTTTCCGACTTAACAAATTAAGCAAAGATCTCCATGTCAAACTTTTCGAAAATGTCTGGCTTAATGAGGTTAGGAGAGTTTAGATTTTTTCTGTTATTTGGTTTTTTCTGTTATAGTTCTAATTTTTATTTTCATTTAGCTTCAACTTTTTTAATAAATAGACACAAAAGTATTTGATTTTTAAATGTTTTGAATTTTATTTGATGTTTTTGAATTTTAATTATAATAGTCATTAATAAAAAGAATGTGATCAAACCTGTACAAAATCAAAGCTGTAAATGAAGTTTTAGCTTAATAAATTATTATAAATAAAATATTATCTTAGAAATTTAATCTTTTATTGTCCACTGCCAAGAGCACAACAAACAAAAAATACATTTGTAGCCCACTCTTACTCCTATCTTTTGATACCATGTTTAGGCAATTAGAATTGTAAAGTTACAAGAATTTAAGTTATAAAAAACTAAATTTTGACCTTCAGCAAATCCATATATCAAAAATTAAAAACTTTTCATATATCAAAAATTTGATACTTAAACCATCATAACTTTTTGTAGAATTTTTCGACTTTGATTATTGTTTTCACTTTTAAATTACTGTATTAAAGACCTTTTTAAGATGCACGATACTCTAGTATTATTATCAGTTTAAAAACTTTATGTCACATATTTAACTGCTGTAACAGCGACAAGTACCAACAGAGTAACAAATAAAAAGCAATATCCTGTAAATTAAGTAAAGTTAATGGAATGCTTTTCTTTTTCAACTATGAAAGATTGATAAATATTTGGCATGCCATATAAAATTCTCTCAAAGGTATGGTTGCCAAATATGGGGACAAAATTCATCTATTAGATCTATCAAACTAAAAATCTTATAAAACTTTAAAATAAATCTATATGAATGGTACATTTCCAGCCAAGCAATTATAATTTAGACTTATCATATAGTTTATCAAATATTTTGAAGTTAGATGAACTCATCTAATCGTTAAACTGTTTTTGTATGGGATATCATTCATAGTACCATGCCTATTGCTTTCAACAACTATTTTAAATTCACAAGTGATATTCGAAACTATAAACTTAGATCTGTATCTTGTAATAGCCTAACTCTACTTTCAAAAAAAAAAAAAAAGCAAATATGGTATTTAATCTACTAAATACCAATCAATTGACTCTTGGAACACTCTCCCATTTTCAATTTTCAAACGTTACTAAAAATACTTTCATTACCAATATCAAAAAATTTACCCTCTATAAAAACACTCAATAAAGTTCTAACACATTATTATGATAATGATTATCACTGTCTTACATCTTTAATTAATTTTGACTATTTTTCTTAATTATAACAGTTTTTAGTTTTTCCTTGTTTTTAAATCTATTCAGTTACCTTTTCTTCTACACCTTATCCTTCTGTTTTATATTTGTATGCGTGTATGAACCTGTTTTACTGAAAATTAATTATAAAGAGCTAATTTATACTTATTAGCCATTTAAATACTTACCGATCTTTGTCTTTTGGAAAACGAAAAATTGAAAATTTTTTATCAGCTACCCCGCTCGTATTTGCGAAGTTAATCGCTGCACAATATAAAGGCATTTGTGAATAATGAAGTGTGTAAACCATTGAAGAAAAACTCAACATAAAATTAAAAAAAATGAAAGCCAAATTTGTTGTTGCGAGCTTATTTCTACAATATTAAGGAATCGCAAAATGCACTTAAAAGAATGCACTTAAAAGAACCAAATAACGAGTATCGACAGGCGCTAAGGCTAGATTAAATAAAATAAACTCTACGAAGGAGTGAATAAACGGCAAAGTTCTTTCTAGAAAAGAATAAACAGAATCTTTCTAGAGGTTTCTTAGAATAGCAAAATACTTTATGACGTAAACTCTGAAATGGTATAAATTTCATTCAACACATAGATTTAGTAGAAAAAAAGAGTTATTCGACTAAAAGCGCAAGCAAAGTGTAAAAAAGTTTTTAAAAGAGTTAGAAAGGTAAGGATCGTTTAATCATAAAACTCTACTTATAAAACTTTATTATGTTAGCTGGGTGTTAAGCTAAAAAATAATTATCAGCGCAAAATTTTTTTTGCTAAGGTTTGTTGGTTAAGTTACCTATAGTACTTGATTTTTTTTTAACTATTTTTTAGTAAAAATGTCTTTGTGGCACGTTCCTGTTCATAAATATTTTCAAACCGATCCATTCTTGGATGATTTACTGGAAATAACTTTCCCTCCTACGAGATATTATCCTTTATTTAATGTTGGAGCCAATGCTGTTTCGAAAAAGAAGGCTTCTCCAAAAGAGAAGGGTTTTGTTGTGAATCTTGATGTCAAGCACTATAAGCCAGAGGAAGTTGCTCTAAAAGTAGAAGGTAATTATCAATAGAAATTTTGTAACCTGCTTAACATTCATTTCGTTACTATATTTTCTGTAATTAATCCCACAAGTAATTATGAACTTTTTGAAAAAGCGTCTTATCAAAATAATATCGATAATGATTGGCAGTTTAACCACCAATCTTTATCGATTGTTCAATTGTACATACGATTGTTGTTAAGATGGTTTCTCAGTGTGTAAATTTTATTTTTAGGTCAAGTTCTTGAAGTAAGTGGAAAGCACCGTAATGAAAATGAAAATGGGTTTGAGTCTAGTGAATTTCACAGGAAGTACACTATACCAGATGATGTTGATGTAGCAGCTCTAACTTCAAATATCAGTCAAGACGGTATTTTGCATATAGAAGCTCCAAAGAAGCTCCCTGTAACGTCTGAATCTGGAGAATCAACAAAGGAAACTTTTAAATGCACTTTGGATGTACAAGGCTTCAAGCCAGAAGAAATTTCGATTCAAGTAAAAGGTAGAGATTTAGTCGTTCATGGTGAAACAAAAACTGAAAACAGCGGTGAGCACGGTTCAAGTTACCACCACAAGCAGTTTACCAAACACGTAGCTTTACCAGATGATGTAGATCCGGCTGAATTAAGTTCTCGCTATACAAAAGACTCTAAATTAACAATCGAAGCTCCGCGAAAGCAGCTTCAGGCTCCACTCACACTAGAAATCAAAATGGAAGAATAAGTGTTGGACAGATGATGTCCTTTATATTGTTATTATCTAAATGTTAAGTAGAAAATGATATACTTTTTAAATAGCTTTTTTTTATTTGTAAATCTTGTAGTAATAGTTTATTTGAAAATAGAAAAAATTACAAATTAATTTTTGTTCTATTTCTGTAAAAGAACGCTTATTTTACCTCTTGCCTTACCCCATGATTAATATGATAACTTTATTCTGATTTAGATAGGTCTGAAAATCAACCTAAGCACTTTTTTTTTTTTTTTTACTTGCATTCACTCCCAACAAGGCTGCAAGCAACCACTATTAAGTTAGGAGTTACTAGGAAAAAAAAGAACAGAGTTATAGAGCGAGAAAACGGTTGACAAAAGACTTTAAAAGTTGAGTCAGGAAAACATAAAGATGGAAGAGGATTGAAAGGATTGAAGTGCAGGGAAAAAAACTAGATGAATAAAAGTTTTTAGAGCATGCAGGGACAGATACAGTAAACGAATGAGGCTAAACTGAATGACGAGTAAAACGAGAATGAACTTTAGTTGATAGAACTAGAAATAATAACTCCTTTGAGCAGTGACCATGATAGTATTTGTAAAAAAAAGAAAGAGATGCAACTTTACGACGATGGGAAAGAGACTCAAGCTTAGCAGATAGTCCAGGTCCAACTACATTTACAATGCGTTTTTGGACTTTGTCAAGAAGAGAAAGTGAATCGTTAGAAGAACCAGCCCAAATATGACAACAGTATTCCATACAGGGACGAATAAGAGATTTGTAGAGGTAGAGAATGGAATCAGAAGTAAGGAAATGGCGAGCACGATAAAGAGAAGCAACCTTAGCAGAAGCTAATTTAGCAATCGATTGTATATATGCTTTCCATGAAAGGTCAGTAGTAAGCGATAATCCAAGAAGACTTAAAGAGGAGGACTCAGTAAGAGGATTGTTATTCATTAATATAGGAATGTTGACCATATTACGGTAGTTGTTTGCAGTAAGCAATTGGATTTTGTTAGAGCTGAAATTCACAAACAACTATGAACCTCAATCTATTACTGAAGTGAGATCGGATTCAAGATCAGCTGCTTGTTCTAGGCGATCAAAAAGAGAAGACTTTTTGTCAAGACAGGAGTATAAAATTGAGTCATCATCAAAAAGAGCTACTTTAGATGAAAGGTTGTCAGGAAGATCGTTTATGCAGATAAGAAACAAAACAGGGCCCAGGATGGAACCTTGGGGAACCCCAGAAGTTACTGGAAATAAAGAAGAGAGTTGGCCTTCAAGGATGACTTTAATAAACCGGTTAGAAAGAAATGATTTGATAATCTCAAAAACTTTCCCAGAAACACCATATGAAGCAAGCTTATGGAGAAGACCAGCATGCCAAACTTTATCAAAAGCTTTAGATATGTCGAGAGCAATAGCCCTAGCCTCACCGCCTCCATCTAATGCACGATAAAATCTTTCAGTTACAGCAGTTAGCAAGTCGGCCGTAGAGCGAGAGGATCGAAAAACGTATTGATTGTCTGAGTAGTTTATTTGACTCAAGATGAGATGTGAGGAACTTGTTGATCAAAGACTCAAAGACCTTGCTAATAACAAAGAGAAGACTGATCGGACGATAATTGGAGGGGTCAGAATTTTCTCCAGAATTTTTGAATATTGAAACCACAGATGCCATTTTCCAACAAGCAGGAAAACAAGACTCAGTCAAACACTTATTAAATAGTTTAGAGAGAATTGAAGAAAGTTCTGGAGAACAATTCTGCAAGACTGTGACAGGAATGTTGTCTGGACCACAAGCTGTAGACGAGTTTAATTGAGATATGACTTTAGCAACAAAAGCCGGAGCGATTTGAATGTCTAACAATGGGTCAACCTGTTTGACTGGAATGGAAGGAAGAGAATGTCCATAAGATTCAAGAGTGGAATTAGAAGAAAAGTTCTTTGCAAATAGTTCTGCCTTATCCTTGGGAGAGGTAATAAGATCAGTCCCATGAATGAGAGATGGAATGTTAGATCTACCCTTGTTAATAATGCTGTTGAAGATTTTCTAAAAGTCTTTAGAGCCTAACTTCTGTGATAAAATGCGAGATTTAGTGAACTGAGAATAATGGAGTTTAGCATCAGAAAGCACCTTTTTACATCGATTTCTTGCAATAATAAATAGCCGTTTGTTCTCAAGAGAGTTGTTCTTTTGAAAAAGATGAAAAAAATGATTACAATTGGATATAGCAGCCGCTCAAGAAGGAGAAAACCATGGAGTAGAATGAGGCTTGACTTGAAACCGACGAGAAGGAATAAACTCTAACCAGATGTATGTGCAAAATAATACACGTAATGCTAACATACGCCTTCTTAAATACGCAAGGTAGTTGTTGATTTTGTAATTTAGTTTTTTTTTGTTTATCTCAAAATAATATTATTTTGAGATCAGTCCTTTTCCGTATGTAAAAATAATTAAATTTATTTTCCGTATATGGATAAGTTGATAGGTATAAATCGAATTTGATTTAATGTAGTTAAAATATAAATATTCTTTGCAATTGACTATGAGAATTGCCTTTTTTTTTTTGGTTTATTTTAATCCTAGAGAATAAATTATAACGAATGTGGCATACTCTGTGCGCGCAATAGTTCTGATCACGCAAAACATGTTGTTACAACCTGGTTCAAAAAAGATTAATGTTCACTTAAATTCTGACAAAAAAACAGTTATTAATTCGCATTTAGTCATGTCTGTTATGGATTCTAATTTTGCTTTAGTTCAATTCCACGTGATCGACAATCACTCCCATATGAAAAAAAGTGGGGAGGGGGGGCTTAAAATCAAATTATAAAAAAAGTTTACAACTATACTAACATTTTTAAATATTGAGTTTTTGAAAATTTTTAAACTTTATTATATTAACGTTTTATCACAAAAAAAGTTAACTAAGATAATAATAAAACGTCGTATAATAATATCTATTGATTCTTAAAATTTGTGCAGCAGAGGGGCAGTGGCTTTAGTATTGGGTTTGAACCAAAAGGTCCAAGGTTTGACGCCGGCTTTAGCCTATTAAGCGATATTGGTAAGGAAGGAGCGTGAACTTCCTAGTTAAATGCTTTACTCTGTTACAAGATCGATAGGACTTCAGCGAGCGCCTAAATAACCACCAAAAAAATTTCGCGTCTGCATTTGACTTTTATTTAGAAATTCATCTTTATTGGATTTAATAAAAAACTGGTTCAATAAATCGCATTTTTAAATCACACTTAAGGTGGAAAGTATTAGCGTTTTTGCGTATTTTTTTGTAATTTTAACTTCTAATTAGAGTGCTTTTCTTTAATTTTTCAACCTATGTTTTCATTCGGTTTTCAACCAAGATAAAACAATCTATCATAACCAACCATTTAATAGAAAAGAGTTCAGATTTTACAAAAATTTAAAATGAAATTTTCAGTAGTGAGTGATGATCATGAACGATCGCCGCAAATACAAGACTTATTATTACGTAATAACTATAAATAAACAAAAACGTTTAAATGAGATATTATATCACTGCATATTTATCGGTGTTTTTTTCTTTGAGAAAAGATGATGACAAAAAATGTTGTTATTATTATTTATTTTCTAACTTTAAAGCAGGGTCGAGTGCAATAATATACCAAAAAAAAAAAAGTCTTTGTAGAGAAGTACATACATTTATTTGAGTCATCTCAGAAAATAAGCATTAGTTTTTTATGAAGAAACTAAAAGTTTATGATATGCTAATGAGCAAGAGGTTGGTGTTAACGCTAAGTCTAACACGGTCTAAGTAATTTTGTAAAATGCTTAGAATAACCAGAGTTAAGAGTTTACTCTTATTGCAAATTTTAATGACTCTCAAATGTACAATAGTAAAAAAAAAAAATATTTTTTAGTATTAACCTATTTAGTTACTATATCTAATCGTGAGTATATATTAAATTAGTATATAAACGCATAATTAATATTTATACGCATAATCAAATTTTTATTCGCCTTTTAACAAGACAAAAAAAAAATTATTTATAAGTTTTGTTTTGAGCACTAAATTGATTTCTTATTCAAACTTAAGAATCTGATGGTAATTATGGTAACTAGATTCGTTCTTGATTAGATACATTTAGCTTGTCTGGGTGATACAAAATAACTCATGAAGTTTAGATTTTAGGCTTTTCTATAGGCAGTAAAACCTTTTTCTGATTGCTTAAATTGGAAAATGACCTTTTACTTAAAGAAATAATGATTTTTAATGTGTCTTATTCTATGAAGTTGTTAAAGGATAGTTTTTAAAAGAATCTAATGTTTTTCGGTCCATTGTTTACATCGTATAATTTGTTGGTATAATTATATTTGTGCGTGACACAAATATAAATATAAGTACGTATCGTATATGTGTATATATGCACATATAATGTCTGCGTACACACATATATTCATATATATACATATGAGTACACACTTATATGTATATATATTATACTACTGATACTAATATAGTATCAAAGAATCCTCTATTAGTATATTATAACATATATTACATTATCATGCCATTTTTTAAATGTATAAATGAAACCACTCTCTGCCAACAATAAACAATTGTTAAAAAGGATGGTTTTTATTTGGTAGGTATTTCCAAAAGAATTAATGGTATTAATTTAAACTTATAAGTTGCCAAAGTATTGTGTGTTTATTGACAGTCTTAAACTTTTCCTCAATTATCATCAATAAAAGTTGATGTAACGGAAGAGGATGTTGAAAATTCAGTAGCCACCTAGATAAACTTTAATCTTGCATGCAAAAACGGTTTGAAGATATTTCGAACTTAAAAATGTACAATTTTTCCCTACCTCAAATCTGGTAGAATCAGGCTTTAGTGCTGTGACCATATTATGAAAGAAATCGCTTGAATATATTTGCAAGAGAATACCTTCTCTTGTTTCTTAAAAAATCCTAACCAGATATCGTATACTTAACTTCGCTGCATTTGCCTAAAAGATCCCATAAATAGCTCAATTAGTTAAAACATTTAAATAAAATAGAATATAAATTTCTACCTATTTTAAAGTATCAATAAATTAATGTAGAAACATGTATTTTATTTATTATTTATAGTTAATTTTATTTATATATTCATAAT